TAGCCATTCGGACAGTTAGAGCCATGAGAGAAGAAAGAGCGGGACAGCCAGGGGGACGGGACCCACAGGCTCACAGGAGTGGGCCAGGGCTCCCTGCTCCCCCACCCCAGAGAGAGGCCCCACAGGGCTGGGGTGAGGCACCCCACTGGACTTGCGCAGCCCCCCCTCCAAGTCACTGACACGGAAGGGGCCTGCACTTTGGCTAGAGACTCAGACCAGCATCCCTGCCCCACCCCAGCTGGGGGGAGAGCAGGAGGCTCCAATCTATCCCCCACTGGGAACCGGAACCTTTCCATGGCCTGGTCCAAAGGTGGGGGGACCCTGGGCATGAGCCAGCCAGACACCTACCACAGGTCACTTTGGTGGGGGATGGGGGCTCCTGCTTGAGGGCAGGGACTGTCTTGGCCCCGCGCCGCCTGCCGAGGGCACTGGCCCGTGCCCTGCCTCTGCTCACCCGTTTCCTCTTGCTGGAGTTGGAGCCTGGAGAAGGGAAGGAAGGTATGGGTAACAGGAGCCTTGCAGAGGACAGGGCAAGGGCTCAGAGCAGAGCTCCACCAAGGGAATGGGATCTAGTGGCTAAAGCAGTGGCTCCAGGAGCCAGGACTCCTGGGTTCTATCCCTGGCACTGGGAGAGGAGAGGGATTTAGGACCCACCTACCACACAGCCCTTGCCCTCAGCTCCCCACACCTCCGGGGGCAGGCACTGCTCCATTTACAAGCCAGAGGAAGGAGCAGACTTCTCCACCGCCGCACGCCAGGGCTGAGATCCATGCTCATTCCCCAGGGTGCTGAGGCCTCCTCGAATGAGATAGGCCTGAAGAGAGGCCAATGGCCTGCGGTCACGTTCCCAGCTATGCAGAAGGGGAAGGGGTTAGTACATCCCGCCCACCCCCGCGTAGCCTGCCATCGTACCTGTCTCCCACTGATCGGGCTGGGTCTCTGCAGAGGCTGAGCCAAGGCAACTGTCCATCTGCCGGTCGGAAGCTGTCACAGACGGGCCGTAGGTGTATCGCTCAGGGGACACTAAGGGGGAGGAGAGAGGTGAGTTCCCCTGGGATAGCACCACAGCGGGATTCAGTGGACGGAAACCGTCCCCCTGTATGCCCCATTGTCCCAAGTCTGGCTCAGAGCAGGCACACCTCAGAGCTCTCCACCCCCACAAGCACAGCCTGGAGCCAATGCCCCCTTCTCCTCCCAAGCCCTGGTACCTGTCCGCTGCCTCTTCAGGGTGACGTAAGGCAACAGGTCATGCCTGGTCAGCAACCGCAGGAGCTGCAGGAGCTGCAGGAAATTCGTCTCATCACATCTCCCTCTCCTCTCCAGCTCCAGCAGCAGCTCCACCCCGTTCCTGGGCTGGTGCCGCTCGCCCACCACCTCTAGGCTCCCAGTTGCCTCCAC